TGACACACAGTTTTTCCACTCGAGCTGGTTTTCAGAAAAAAAAAGAATCTAACAAAATTTAAATTTTAAGGTTTGTTTTATTTTGTTGGTCCCGCGTACCCCCTAAAAATTTTTGCGTACCCACGAGGGGTACGCGTACCACAGTTTGAGAACCATTGGTTTACATGATTGAGAAAATTCCTTAAAAGCATCAGATCAACAGAAAATCTATAGTGTAGAGGAATAATTTTTATCAATTATCAGCATAAAATTTTCCCTCCCAACCTTTTTTTAAATTCAATTTACTTATTGTTTATTTACAGATCTAGAATGAACTTCTGTGAAGATCCTGCTGTACTTAGAGAACGCAGAGAGGCCAGGTTCAGGGCAAGGGGGCATCAGCCTCAGAACCCACAAAAGAAACCTGGCGTTGTAGGAAAGCCTAAAGGCCAAGGTCAAGAAAAGGAAGTACTGAAAGCAAGAGATAAGAAAAACACGCAGAAATCGTCACGAGCTAATCATAGTAGGAAGAGCGGGGCACAGTGGAAACGAACCAGAGGAATGATTCCTTCATGAAAGGAATTTATCAGTTACTTTTTGGCAATTTATATGAAATGTGATAGGGGCTAATTTATTGGATTTTTCTTTATTTTTATTGGTATTTCCAACCGACAATATTTGAGATTGGGGAAGTTAACACATATAAAATGTCTTTATTTTCACTCCCTATGACCCCTGATCTCAGAATTTGCAAAGTTATTTTCCGATTGGAAACTTCACAGAAACATGTTGAACTTGTTTCATTTAGATTCTTTTATTTATAATAAATATATGATGTCATATTAAACAAGCATATTTTGTTATTAGCATTTTTATTTCTGTATTGTAACGGTCGTGTTACTAATGCCACTACTGTCACCAGTTAAATTTGACTTTTAGGTTTGTCTTTCTTACAGGAATGCCATCTGAATGAAAAGTCTATATGAAAAACCTATTTTCTCAACTTATTTTGTATATACAGTGTGTCCCATTTTTAATGGAAACACCCCCCTAAAATTTGAAGTTGTAAACCGATTTCAATAATTTTTGTTTTGAAATGTCAAGTACTAAAAGTTCTACCTTGGGACAAAATTTGAAATGTTTATTAAAGTTTCAGGGCATACTACGATATTTTTTCTTAGTCGAAAATCGGGATTTTTTTATTAGCGATTTTTTTATTGAAAAAATCACTACGCCACTGGATTCAGAGTGCCTCTAAACAGGTGTGACCAAAATTTCATGAAAAAATATTCATTATTAACAAAGTTATGACAACTCAAAAATTCG